AAACTTTTAAACCTCTATATCTTTTCAAGCTAATGGCGTAATCCTTTGATATTTCAAACTTAGACTATTTGATCTAACAGAATGCATAGTTTGAAATATCTAAAGTCTACGACATTTGGTTGAGAAGATATAAAAATTAGAAAATAAGATTTTGTTTCAAAGACTCATTTCCTTTGCAAAAATACAAATATGTATTGCGAAATCTAATTATTAAGCAAAAAGTGTACAAAAAAAAATCGCGAAATATGATTGAAATTATACATTTTTGAATAGCCCTTGATCCTGCAAATAAAATACGCTAAAATATTTGCAAAAGTTTTAAAACCTAAATGTTTATTCAAGAAAAAATAAAATGTTGCTAATTCCCCTTTAAAGGCATCTGTCAAAAAGTTCCTTTGCAGAAATTGTGCCTTCTGCTTTCTTTTGTTATAGGCTTTCCAAAGGGCTATAGAATGTTGATATCCAATGCCTGGAAGTAGGTCTAAATATAGATTTATTCTGGTAAAGGTAAATAAAGCATTCATGCAGTATTCCTGAGGACTCAGGCATAAGTTATAAAAGCCCAACTTTTAGCCTAAAGTGAAGGGAATGTATTTTTTAGAAAAGTAAAAAAATGTGAACAGCCTCAGACATACTTTTTAAGTTATCGCAAAAAACCGATAGAGGTAAAGAAACTGTTTTTAGCAACATATTAACATAGATAAAGATAGATTGCGCATAAGACGGCATTTTTCATCTTGAAAGATATAAATGTACAAAGATGTTTTAAAGATATTCCTATTATATAGATTAACTAGGTCGGTTGTGAACATTGGCTGTTCAAAATAAGGCATTCATGCAGTATGCCTGAGGACTCAGGCATAAGTTATAAAAGCCCAACTTTTAGCCTAAAGTGAAGGGAATGTATTTGTTCGAAAAGTAAAAAAATGTGAACAGCCTCAGACATACTTTTTAAATTATCGCAAAAAACCGATAGGGGTAAAGAAACTGTTTTCAGCAACATATTAACATAGATAAAGATAGATTGCGCATAAGACGACATTTTTCATCTTGATAGATATAAATGTACAGAGATGTTTTAAAGATATTCCTATTATACAGGGTGTCCCACATCATATTAGACCGAGAACGGGTCTAAATTACGATTTTCGGGACTAATTAGAAAATTTCATTAGAATGAATCATTTTGAAAAATAACATAAGGCTTATTTAAGAATTTTCTTGCGGAAAATGATAAGTTTTTCGAGTATTAAGGGTTTATTTTGGTGTTAAAGATTGGAGGCAATCTAATATGATATGGGACGCTCTGTATAGATTAACTAGGTCGGTTGTGAACATTGGCTGTTCTTATGTCATTGGGTACTTGTGGTGTACATAAGTTATGTAGAGAGAAATTTAAGTTAGTTTAGTCCTTCTCATGTCCTTCTTCAGTTCTCGTCAATATGATATATTGCTCAGTGAAATATTGTTCTATTAGTTCCATTCCCGGAGTTATTTTACACTCTATTAGGAAATCCATTAAACACCAAACCACCCCGCTTATCATTGAAACACACTTTGACCCCTAGAAGTATGAGTTCGCGGACTGTACAATTCTTGGTGATTTTGCGTACATAAGCTATGTTTATTTATTCATCTATGCATATTGAGTATGCTGAAAACTACAAATAACCTTAATTTCTAAAATAAACTGTGGGAAGTCGTTTATTTTTGTCAAACCCTGCACCATTTTCATAACAATACTCGGTTTTCCATTTTCGGAGAATAAAATTGATCTTTAGCATGCTGCATTTCTGAATTTATGCAAATTAAATAAAACATAGCATAATAATTTTAGAATTTTTACAAATGTTAAAATACATTATATAAGTTTTTATATTTTAAAAATAATAATCAGAAAATTATTTTTACTTTTTTGTATCAAAATGCGTCNAGTTTCCGTGAATTTCTCCGCTTGGATAAAATCCATTTTTGGATTGACTAATTTTAAAATTTTTGGTAAAAGAATGTATTTTATATAAAAGTATACGGAGATTTTTTATTCTACTCGACTTGCTCCTCGACATTGTTATTGTTATTGTTATTGTTATATTTTAATCGTTTCCGTTTTAAAAATGTTATAATTTTGTTATAATTCTTCCAAAAAACATTACGAAAAATGGACGAGAAAAAAATTAAGAACAAAACCCGGAGACGTCCGGACGAAGAAAGGAGAAAAAATGAAAATATTCATAGAATTAAAAATAGTTTTAAAAACAAATTAATTGTTCTTAGTTTACTAGATATTAACTGAGAACTAAATAACAACTTTCAAATCGGAATTTTTTTCACAGAAATTGTAGAAATTCATTTTAAACAATTAATATCGAATACCTCTAGTATTGAGATTTCCATAATGGGGTTTTACATATTTGTACCTTATTAATTAACGAGAAAATTAATAATTTTGTACAGATTTGTTTCAATGAAATGAAATCAAAATTGTCCAAATACCTAATACCTCCTTCAATTTTAAAGACACAAACAGGAAAAACCACTTCAGATAAATTTTTGACACATCTCAGTCCAAATGTAGAATTTTGTAATTTGTAACTATATTTATTTGAAAAAATGTGCTCTAAACGTTTCCAGAAATATAATCAGATATATCTTAAACGAATTAAAGGAATTGAGTCTTTGTAACAAACTCTGATTTTCTTATACCTATATTTTTTCCCCTGATGGTGTAAACCTTTGATATTTCAAACTTAGATTTTTTTATCTAACAGAGTTGCATATATATAGAGATTAGGAAATCATAGTTTGTGACAAAGACTCAATTCCTTTAAAAGCCCTGATAATAATTTTATTTAAAGAAAGAACGCAGATGAAACACATTCCACAGCATTATGGTGTCACTGTATTTTCTGAGAAGACTTCTCAAAAAAATCCATTGATTTGGCCTGATCTTTTTGATTTTATGGATAATTTACTGACAAGTTCTTGTGACTACTGGTTGCTGACTACTGGTTTCATACCTGTTCAGTGCAATGCACTCATGCAAATCTGACAAATTTCATATTTTCTCTTAATTTATCATTTTGTTCTACTTTCTTTATATTTTAAATTATCTTAAAGATTTATTGAAGCCAGGCGGCTCCTGAAAATGATACCTTGACCTTAAAAAATTCAAATTAGTTATTATGTTTTACAAAAACATAACATTTTATGTTTGATATAAAAAGTCTAAATGCTATTTTATATCTCTATCTATTCAATGATTTGTTTATAATTACATATGTCTATTACAGCATATGTTTGAAAGATATAAAACAAGTTTCCAAATAACAGCAAATATTGCATTTTATTATCAGTATTCCAATTTAGTTCGATTTTAGGGAAACACAAAATGAGATTCAATTTAAAGGTGTTGGAACATTTCATAGAGAAAATTTCACATAGAGCAAAATCAAAATGACATTTTTCAAAAACTAGGCTTTTAGGGCGCTGCGCGCCCATCTTCTATTTCAATTATAAACATTTTATCTTTGTATACATTGTAAAATAAAAACAATTAAAAGTTTGCGTATTTTATAAAAAAATGTCGTATATTTTCAAAATTTAATCAAAATTTGGGCCCGATCGGTTCAGCCGTTTTGACGTTTATCGAATACAAACAAACAAGTAGACAGACAGACAGACAGACAAGAAAAGTATAAATATATAGATGTAAAGGACATTTCATAGAAAAAGAAACTCATAAAGTGACATTTCTTGAATAGGACATTTAATAGACAGAACATGTTTCTAAGAGAGGTAGTTTCGTGAATAATTCAAGGTTTTTTAGTTTTTGTGGCGTCACAAACAATACTAATAGTTAAAAGCGAAAATATGCAAAGTTTGTAAAATGAAAAATGAAAATTAAAAAGATCACAGTGGATGTTCGATTTATTACGATTTTTTGAAGAAAAAATTTACCTATATCTGTGAGAAATTTTCTTTGTCTATGAAATGTCTTTTATGAATAGTCTTATCTACGCGATGTCCTTATATGAAATGTCCCAACACCGATTAATAGGATATACTTAACACCGAACTTTATCCGTTACATGAGCCTGAAGGGCCAGCTTACGAAGAACTAGTTAAACATTCAAGGTTTAGTATTTATTACATAAAAAGTTAAGATTTCTCAACTGTATTAGAAAAAATACGTTTCCTATTTTTGTTAAGGAACCTCTTTCTTGCTGAAGGTTCGGTAACCCTTCAAGATTTTTTACGCCCAGAGGCTGTGACAGCAGCTGTAGCTAACATCGATGTAAACATGACAAATGCTTGGAATACGGACGGAGAGCATAATATTTTCCTGGACACAGGAGATCCGGAATACCTTGAGAATCACATCAGAAATCAGCGTTTTCATACCAAGGTAAAAATTTAATCTGATTGTTTTGAGTCATAATAACAAAATGAATTAAATAAATAATACGAATTTTAAAAGACTAGCCTTAGAGGGCGCTTCGCGCCCATCTTCTAAATTAATTGTGAACATGTTCTCTTTGTGTACATCGTAAAACAAAACAAAAATAATTCGCGGATTTTCACAAAAAATTTCGTGGATTTTCAAAATTTTCAAAAATTTAATGAAGATCGAATTTTGATGGAGACAAATATTTGAAATTTTGATCATTCATAAACCTTCCCTGTGGTCACGTGAGGTCCCACAAAAAATTTGGGCCCGATCGGTTCAGCCGTTTTGACGTTTATTGGATACAAACAAACAGACAGACAGACAAACAGACAAACAGACAGACAAGCCAAATTTATATATAGATTTCGTAAATTATACATTTGTTTTAATCAAAGGCTGAGAGAAGATTCGGAAAAATTAAATGTGGGGCAAAATGTAGCTTTATTACAGGTTGCATAATGTGCGGTGATTTTATTTGTAATTTTATCTTATTGTAGGTTTCATCTTTAGCTTACGATATGCTAGATCCAGAGGGCCCTTTATCAACATTGTATCGTGACGATAAGTAAGAGTGAAATTTTGTTAGCCTGTGAATAATTATTGATTTATTACACCGCAACCTACCAAGTGTGAAATAATGATGTTTAGTTTCCGTGAATTTCTCCGCTTGGTGCTTGGCGTAGATAAACTCTTTAGACTGGAAGACCCTCTTGGAGCTCTATCTGTCAATATATTCCAACCGGGAGATAGGAAAAAATTAGTTTTAAAGTTGATTAAATTGATATTAATTTTGGACAAATTATTTTTAAAGCAGTGGAAGTTGCCGTCCGAAATTCGAATTGTTCGAATACCATTACTCAACAATTGACAAACTTCGTTAATTTGTTCGAATACCTTAATTTACCATTACTCAACAGCTGACAAACTTCGTTACAAGCTTATATATAAATTATATAGCATTCAATAAAACCGGAATATAAAGGGGGGGGGAGAGGTTTTGAAAAAAATGAAGTTTGGGGGTAGGGATGGGTATGAACGGAATAGGGGGGGGGATATAAAAAGATTAACGTGTTGGGATGGGGGCTGATATGATAGTTTGACAGGTTGTGTTTACATTATCAGCTAGAGTTTCTAATTGAGATGCGTCAGTGTATTTTCGGACAATTATGCGGTCTTCAGTCAATTCAAATTTCGGAAGGCATCTTCCTTCCACTGCCCTTTAGAGATTTTGAAAAGTAAGGAAATAATTTTTTTTCTGAATATGCATGTTATATTATTATTTTAGTTAAATACAGCCCTGTATTATTCGGTTCACATTGTAGTCTACTAAACTCTAGTGTACTGTAGTCTCAGGACCAAAACTATTCTTTGATTAAATTATAGGCATAGCTGGCATTTTGATCAATCAAGTCATTCTGTTACAATAATGCTGCAAAAACCTGATGCTGGCGGACATTTCAGGAAAACAGGCCAAATTAGACGAACCAGGTAAATACAAAAAAGTGTGAATGGAAATTTTAAGTTTGTCTTAAAATTTAAAAGAACAAGTATAGAATAGATCATAAATAAATCAGAAATTTAATAGTCAAATAAACTGTGCATACAAATAATCCAAAACACAAGACGGATTGGATCATCATTATGGTAATACAGTTATAAACAGAAAACTCCAAAATATGAAGACGACTTTACATCAAGACCAATTCTGGAATATAGCGCGTTTGATGTTGTTACAAAGCAAATAGTTTTGCTAGACACTTATAAAATAACTAATTAAGTGAAATGGGTTTGTTTACACTGTACAATTGCTGTGTCTCCTGCTTATTGGACTATAAAAGTCATAACTTGAGTCTAAAAGTCGTCTTTCTATTTCAGAGTTTTCTGGTTATAACTGTATTTTTGGAAGAAATCTTTGCTTAAATTTTCACAACAATAAAAAAATTGTATTCTTTCAAAAGAAATTTGGTTTCGCGGATTTTGTTTTCAGCTTTCCAAAATATTTTAGAATCTAATTTTTATTATACCTAAAATCCGAAAAAAATAAAAATTACGATTATTTTTACAAAACATTGATAATTCCGGGTTTTTTACTCACGCGGATGTATATTTATTTTTATATAGTTAAGTATAGTATTTATTTTCAAACACAAAATACAAAATAATAATGTATAAACACGAAAGAAAATTTATTATGAGCCAATTCAAAATATAATGTTTGATAATTTTTTTGATCCTATTTGTTGAAACAAAGTATAAATATTGAAATCTCAACTAAATATACTTTTAATTGTGCATTTACAAGTAGATAATTAGTCAGCACTGGAATAATCAAGACATCTTCTGGAATGCATTAATTGAACTTATAAATACATATTGATTCAGCAAAAGGCAATGTATTCTCGTTGACTGTAGTAGACTTTGACATCTACCATTAGCAAAGGGTGTGAACGCATACTCGTTGACTGTAGTAGACTTTGACATCTACCATTAGCAAAGGGTGTGAACGCATATTAGTTGACTGTAGTAGACTTTGACATCTACCATTAGCATAGGGTGTGAACCCATACTCGTTGACTGTATTAGACTTTGACATCCATCATTAGCAAAGGGTGTGAACCCATTCTTGATGACTGTAGTAGACTTTGACATCTACCATTAGCAAAGGGCGTGAACCCATACTCGTTGACTGTAGTAGACTTTGACATCTACCATTAGCATCTACCATTCTCTCGTTGACAGTAAAAAGGTTATATTCACCCTGTCCCAATTAACATGGAAATTGAGTCGTCTTTTTAAATAAGTTTTGATTCAGTACAGTGATATGGACTGTCCCATGTATTGCTCCGGGTCTTTGGCAGAGGCCCGTGAGTGCCGGGGACTTGAGATTGTCCCAAAGACCACCCAGAATCCCGACACCAGGTTTTGTTTCATCTTATCAGAGACTCAAAAGCCAGGGTACAGTCCGAGAATCTCTGGGTCTTTAGTAGAGGCCCAACAACTCAGGACAGTCCTGAGAAATAGTAGGCAAAAATACCTACTATCATTAATGATATAATTAATAAGAATTATGTAAAGAAATTGTTAAAAGAAATTAAAAAATCGTTTATTATGGGACATTTTATTTTTTTTGTGTTCCTTATTACATGTTCAAGTATCTGAACAATCCGAATGAGAGAAGATTAACAGCTTCTCTTTGTTTGCTTGTGAACTCGTTTTCATTGCATTGATATAAGCGCCGACCACTGTAGTAAATAAAGAAACAATTTTTTAGGCATGATAAGAGTGAAGAATTATTCTCAGTATTGAATGAAGTAATCCAGAATGAAAATGAGCAAGATATGGAGAAGAATAAAGAACACGAAGAAACAAATTCTAAATCTGTGAAAACTTTAAAGTTTGATCCCGGAACTCTGAGTATATTTAGCGGATCTACCTCTCTTCATAAGGTAACTCAAACTACATAGTTCCAACAATACAGTTTTTTTCAGTATGTAGCCAGCTCGAAAACATCCAAACAGCAAAGCAGAATGGACCTCCTAGACGATGCCATGAACGGATTTGTTATGCTTTTACACTGCAGAGTGAAGAGCTCCGCAAGACTTCTGCAACTATTTGCAGTGGTTCAATAACGTTTATGATGCTCATACAATGCTGCACTGTCCGACCCACTGCCGTTTGAGCTATTAATTATTTCAACAATTGTTCATCTTATCTTCATCACACGCTTTTTTAGTGAATAAGTTTTCATGAAAATTAGATTACATATTATAAGCGCCACTGAAAGAAAATCATTGCTCATTTGAATTACTTCTTTGTATAATAACAATAGATAAAATAAAGACAAAAAAGTTATTTAAATTGAGCACAATAATGTTGAAATAAGACAAAAAGTGAAAATCTGCAAAATATGCTAGTATGAACAAAAGTTCAGAAACCTTTCCCAGAGTCATGTGAGTTGCCATAAAAAAATAGGCCTGATTGGTTTAGCTGGTTTGACGTTTATTGGATACAAACAAACCCTGCAAACCAGCAAAGTGTTTGTTTATTGTAACTAGGCTTTAAAGGCGCTTTGTGCCCATTTACTATTTCAATTGTGAACATTTTCTCTGTGAATACATTGTAAAACAAAAGCAATACAAGTTTGCGGATTTCACAAAAATTTTTCGTGAATTTTTTAAATTCATTGGAAATCGAATTTTGAAATAAAAACCTTTCCTGGGGTGACGCTAGGTCCCCCAAAAATTTGGGCCCGATCTGTTCAGCTGTTTATTGGATACAAACAAACAAACACCGAGACAGACAGACAAGCAAAATATATATATATAGACTAGGCTATGCAGTGGTCGGCGTTTATATCAAAACAAAAAAGACGACTTTTCTATTTAACTGATGATTTCTTACAAGGGTTTTTCAAGTTACAAGTTTACAAGCAAACAAAGAAAAGCTGTTAATTTACAGCTTCTCTTAATTTACAGCTTCTTATAATTTACAGCTTCTCTGTGTTCCATGTTATATGTGTATCCATGCTGTTTTGTAAGCTTGGTAGATATAAAAATTGAAATCGAAGGTCGTCTTCATTGTATTGATATACGACGACGACGTTGCAGAACTAACTATAGCTGGGATCAGCCATGTTTGTCCCCAAACCTTAATTATTTACATAGGACCTGCCCAGCTTCCTTTTACAGTGCTCCAGGTTTCTGACAATTGTGATTTTGGAGTTTCAATTTCTTTAACAAAAATGAAATGACTTTTAATCAAGGCATTTTAGGTTACTTGTGTACACGGAACCAGGAGTAGGCAAGTTGCAGTCTTATGCTACGCAACGCGTCAGGGTAAAAAAAACTCACCAGAAGTTCAAAAGCTATTTTGGGGGAGGGTTAAGTAATATGTTTTAAATAATCCTTTTGTGTAATATGCAGTCAAGAGTTTGGGAAAATATACGTAAACAAGTACTGTAATAAGTTATTTTTTTAAATGCTAGATTATTGCATGTGCAATTGTACATTTTTTTAAATTATTTAGAATTTCTTTTGTTAGTGCATGGGTAACTTTTTGACTGAGTTTTCTGTATATTTTTAGAACACACTAGTAAACGTATCAATTTACCTTTAGTAGAAAGATACAGGAAAGGCAACCTAAAAAAACGTACGGTAAAAAGCAGTCGTCACTTTACCTAAAGTCACTGAGATTCACTAGAAATAATAGTGGTTTTGGTTCCAGGGACGTACATCTAAGGTTGAGTTTTCAGAATAATTGTTTACTAATTTAGTTTTTCCCCCCCAAAAGGCCTCTTCTCATGTGCAGGAGAATCATAAATTATGTTGTCCAGATCATTAGTCAAAACAAATCTTGCATTAAATTCGTATGAAGGATCATAATAGATGTCAAACTAATCCTAAATCATTTTCTACAAAGCCTTCAAAATCTATTTTTTAAATAAATTTTTACGATTTTGGGGTGTTCATGGTGTTTTTACTGCCTAGTTCTACATCCGAAAATCTCCTTTTTTAGGATAAAAATATTGCAAAGTTTTATAAAAGCAAACTTTGACCGTATACAGTTTTTAAAGCAGGAGAAGCTTTATTAATCGTTAAATATTTACTGGTTTACAAGTTTTATGTTGAAATTTCCCATTAATATAATTTCTTCAGATTTTCTAAATAATTAGGATCTGCAGAAATGGTGCTCAAAATTTCGTTCAGTTTCTGAATGAAAAAGGTTAATGTTTGCTCCTTGAGATCTAAAAATATTCCCAACTAGTTTTATACTATTCTTTCCACATTTTAAATTATGTCTTCTCAAAAAAACGATGTTTTATCTAGAGTTTCATGCTCATTATTTCCAATATTATTCTTATATTTATCACTAGGCTTTCTTTTTTATATATCAGAGGTTTATGCCTTACCAAGGTGTATCTGTATCAGGGTAGCAGGAATATTCAAAATTTCCTGAATCGAAATTATGGAAAACAAATTCTTTATAGTTCAATTCTGTTATCAATTCATGGAATTTATTAAATTTTCCAAGCAAGCTACGAGTTTTTAAAGAACTAGGCGTTTAGGACACTTCTTGCTCATCTGCTATTTCAATTTTTAATTCTAATCTGTAAGAATCTTCTCTTTGAATTCAATAATATTTCGGACACAAATTTTTGTAATTCATAAACCGTCCCTGGGGTCATATGATGTGAGGTCCCACACAAATGTGGGCTTTCGGTTCAGCCATTTTGACGTTTATTGGATACAAACTTACAGACAAAAAAGTATATATAGAAGAGATGAAAAATAATTTGATTGATTAAAAAAAAATTCTAAAAATCTTCAATATCATAATATTTACATAATATTTCAGAAGCACTATTTATTGTTTCTAACTCTATCAAAGTATTTGTAAAACCCTGATTCTGATCACCCTGTATTATTCATGACCGATACTGGCTAATATGTACTATAATCCCGCTCTCCTCCCTCCACAGATCGACCCACAACCACCTAAGGAGAAGGGAAAATAATATCGGGATTATACAGAAAAGAGACTTATAAGGAAGGTTCAAAGGAGAAGTAGAAAATAGAGGATTTTAAACATGAAAACATTTGGATATTAAAGGAAAAATTAAATGGAGTATAGAAATAGTAGGTTTAAACAGATCATATTCAGCAAATAAGCAACCAATCAGAAAACGAAGATATCCCAGAGAAACCTAATTGTAACTTAGGTTTTCTCCAATCATTATTTTATAATTTTTAGTTTCATTTTTAATAGATATAATTGATAATATTAATTGTTAATGTTCCATTTTTTATCCCAAACGTTTTAATCGCAGCAATTTAATTTTCCTTTCCAAAAATGTAATTATTTCCCGTACTAATACATGCAATCACCAACATATTTCAGGATTTCATTGAAACCTAAACAAAACATTGAAAACATCCTCATTACAAAATTTAGAATGGTACGAAATGTTGAATGTAACAGAACGCCAATATTACAAAACATTCCAAATTACAAAACATCAAGATTTTTCTTTTCTAAAATATTATTACAAATGAAAGGAACCACCCAATGGGAGGGGGGTATCTATGCTTCTACAGTTTCCTCAGATCCAGAGGCGCAACTAGGGGGGGGGCGGCCTAGCACCTGAGAGGGGGGCGCCCCCCCTGAAGAATAAAAAGAAAGTTTGGCGAATATCAATATCACAGGAGTCAGGAATAATAAAACCAAAATAGTTATTGCAGAAATTGTATTCTACTATCGTTAGTTAAAAAAAATATTTTTATCTTTCTGAATTCTCAAGGCTAAAGGCTATTGTAAACATTTAATGTAAAAAAGTTCCAAACTGTATTCAAACTTTGAATTATTTTGGTAAAATATTCTAAGTTTACATCAAAGGTTTACACCACTCGATGCAAAGATTTAGGGATTAGAATATTATCCAGGGTTTATTTAACTTGTTTTGTTTTTCCTCCACTCCCTGAGATCTAAACCCAGATTCCGCCTTTTCTTAGTCTTAGGGCCAGCTTGGGTGGGGCGTTGGCTGGTCAGCCTGTGGAGGGGCAACCACAGGAGTTTTCCATGGGTTGATCATTCTCTCTACACGAGCTGTGGATAGGATTCCTTTGAATCAGATCTGCGAAGCCATTCATTTCAAAGGTTTGTGTACTAAATGTTTTTGTTTTGGCGTAAATTACTCCATATAAGGAGCTCTTTAGATACATCTATGAGGTACAAAACAATCGATATGAGTTTACAAAAAAAGGAAAGATCATAAGCTTGAGAAGAAAGGAAAGAGGAGGTTCAAATAAAGAGTGTTTTTTTTTAAGACAAATTTCTTAATTTCGTAAATTTTTTACACAACCTCATTACAACCACAATAATAACAATCTCTGTTATCAGTAATCACCCCCGAAACCATAAAACGAAAAATGTGTTGAAACAGAAAAAAAGAAAGGAAGAGAATAAGTGAAAAATTTAGATTAAGATTAGATTAAGAATGAAAATGGTTGACAAAATTTAATTATAAATGCCGCTAATTGTTTTTAGTTCACGTTAAAATGTTATCATGAAAGAAGTCCAGATAAAATACACAAAAAGTTGACAATTTAAAATACCAGACAGTTAAGAGCCCTTCGCACCCCCTTTTTCATTCACAATTTTAGTTTTCAAGATTCAAATTATGCTCGGATAGTCGCCATTTTTAATCATTCTCAAATTTTCGCAGATTTTTCTGCTTAATTGGCGCATATTCAAAAATAAGGAATGTCGACATTTTTGTCAGCAGGGCAAATATTTTAATTTTAAGGGTCGATCCATAATCCTTCCCTAGGTAATGTGAGTTGCCATAGAAAAAATTGGCCCGATCGGTTCAGCTGTTTTTACCTATAATGGGTACAAACAGACGACAGGCAAGAACAGTATATATATATATATATATATATATATATATATATATATAAATAATCCATTTTTGAGAAAATACCAAGTTTTTGTGACACTCCAAAATTCGTTTTATCAAGGTTATATTATTTTTTTATTTCACAATTTTCTTAACTTTGCACGTTGTACATCATGCATTAAGTGAATAATAAAATAAGTATGTATAGCTTTTAAAATGTAAAATGTAAAATACTGTATGAATATTCAAATCATAAAATCAAATCAAATCATAAATTATATTTACTGCAGTAATAACAAATCATAACAGTTATCAACAAAACATTTGTACATAAAAAATATGTAAAACTACTGTACACAGCAGGAGAGCTTTGACAACTTAGAGCTGTTTTCACAGAGCTCTCCTTTGATCCTTAAGATATCAATAATTTTTGGAAAAATATTGACTGGAAGCAAATATTTAGATATTTTTTTAGATAGATTTTAAACTAAAAAAAGATTTTAAAAGTAGAAATTTGTAACATGATAACGGTAACAAAATATCATAAACACTACATTGTTAACAGATTCAAAGTCAATCTTGATATGTAAACTGTGGGACTGTGTAAAATCAGATTGCCTGTGTTATTTTGTTTTTATTTACATTGTTCAGATAAATTTTTAAGAAGTTGAAAGGTTTGTAACATTACACGAGAATTAACAACTGTATCAGTTCTAGAACCTTTGAAAATCTATTTCCACTTGAACAATTTGACATCATTTGTATTATTTACTCGCAAACCCTTGGGCTTATCATTAAATACCTCGGGGGTTTAAAACCCGGCGGAATTTTTTGTTGAGCAATCTTAAATGGAAGAATTTTTTCACAAAATTTACCAATTCATATTTGAAAATGAGTCAGTTCTTATCCAAAATGAACAGTCGCACTTCTCTTACTATATAGTATCATTATGAACAAGATGATCTATGGCAAGGATTGTAAGGCAAGGAAAGTTATTTCAGAAGTGTACACATCTTTTGTACTGCAGTGTACTGTCTCTGGGCGGTAATGTAAACACATGACGGATGTCGAAGCCTGAAATGGGATCCATCTTTCACATAAAAAATCGATGAAATATTCTGGTCATAGGAAAATATTATGTGAATTATCAAAATTTTCAAAATTTAATGCTTTTAACCTCTTCGGATACTAAACGAACACTGATGCATCTATTCTTGTTTACAAATTCCGCCCAAAGAGAACTGGTTTCAATATGTACGCAGAGTATACACGACCGCAATAACCTTTCCTTGCCTTACATTCTTGATCCATGGGAAATATCTACGAGCCTGGATCAACTTTTAAAGGGTTTCACCGAGCAATCACAATTATTATAGGCTCTTAAATTATACAATGTTAAACCATGCCGACCTCAAACATATATATATTCCTTATAAAAGCTGGTGAGGAATCAATTAAAAGCCTGAATCATTTAAAACAGAGAAGATTTTCAGTATCTGATTACTCATCTTAATTTTTTTCCTCATCAAACTGATTAAGTACACGTGCCTTTTATATTGATTGAGTACACGTACCTTTTATATTGATTGAGTACACGTATCTTTTATATTTCAAAATTTGGACATTTGGAATCGACAGATTTCAATTCTTCTTTAATTAATCTTTAAATCTTATATTTACGTTTAAGTTCTGAAACAGTGTATAAAGTGAAATGTGAAATGTGTATAATTTAAAACAAATAAAAAAAATAAAAATAGAAACTTACAAAAAAAAAACATTTAAGTATTCTCTGGGAGGCAAAAATAAAATGTTCTAAATTCGGACTAACTTTTATTGTTAAAAGAGTTGTATAACTATTAAAAACCATGCGGGATAAAAAAGTCAAATAAAAGAAAAGAGTTCAATAAAAATTGCTTCAAACCAAAAAACCAGTTGTTAAAGAAAGAATGTAATGCCCTTGGGTTTATTGCGGAATATTTTGGGGGTTTAAATTTCAATTCATTTATTTTTTTCTTAGAATAAATGTCATCACTTTGTAAATTGTTTCATAGTTCTAGATCTGGAACAGATATACTATCTGCTATATTTATGATTACAACCATTACCCAACATAGAAATTAAATCGTCTGTCCAAACCTTGTATACGATAAGATTATTAAAAGAAATTTTAAAAAAATTATGATGATGTACTTCAGCAATCATAAAAAGATTCAAAGAATTCTTTTCAGTCAAAAGATTGGTCTTCTTCACTTCATAATAACATAAAAACTTCGTCAAATTCTACAATGGATTAACTTTGAATTTTTAATGAAGTAGGATTTAAATTGGGGTGTGGTGGAGTGGGGGGGGGGACAATATCTGTAAGATAAAAGATGGCAATGTTTTAAGAATAAAACACAAAATAATATAATATTAATCTTTAAATGATACTGTTTTTAAGGTTTTAATCTTGGAGTTTGATACTTCCGGATCTTTGGATTCCAGATTTTTTAGTCCTTTTTTAGAGTACTTTCCGAACAAGCCAAAGTGATTATCCAACTCGCTCTAAAATATATAATAAAAATTATAATTATAATTATAATTATAATTATAATGCGTCTTACTCAATTAACTAAAATAATGAATTAAAAAGCAAAACACATAAATGAATGTAAAGTTTATTTTTTTTTTAAACTAAAAGCCGTTTTGCTTAGAAATAAATATCATAAAACGAAAAGGGGTTTCCATCTCCTGAACAGACGTTTTCTTTAATTTTAAATCTTAAGTCCAAATCTTTGCAACCTGGTGGTGTAAACCTTTGATATTTTGACTATTTTATCTAGCAGAATTCATAGTTTGAAATATCTTAGATTTACGACATTGGGTAGCACTTATATAGAGAATAGAAATTCAGAGTTTATTGCAAAGTCTCAATTATTTTGTTATTCATCGCGCACACAGTTTGAACCGCCATTATCTGTCCATCATCCAGATACCAGATTTAATGAAGAGAGAGACACGATTGAACCTTGTAGATGTTGTTCAACCACTTCTCCACTGTTTGAACTACATCTCAGTGGTTCAGCTAATTCTCGCTGTAATTCGGTAACGGTTAGTTAAAAAATATAACCATTATCAACTATTCTGGTAGCCGTTAGTTCTTTGCTAAGAACTGAACAGTATGTCCAATAACAGTATTTTACTTTATTTCTCACAGAGATCCAGACAGCAATGAAAAGTTGCATCAATTATCAAGACTTGACTTTAAAGTGTCGCAACAACCTGGTTTTTGATTTTTACCACACTAAATCACCTATTCTTTTTTTGTAGCCGTGAACATGTAAATTTTAGAACAATAAAACACTTTTGTTTAGCAAACGTTTTTCAGTAATTGACAAAATTCTCACTGATTTTTGCGTGACCTCACAGTGTTCTTAAAATTACCGTTCATTAATGATCACAACTTTATTATCTACAAGCCCTACAATTACAATTGAAACTACTTTGTTTCTTTCAAAACTACAAAAACGACATCATGAAAGAAATTTACAGATCGAGAAAAAAACCTAAAATACTATTATTTAACATCATTATTTCCAAATTTTCTGGATGTCAATTAGAGCATTTTTCTAGAAAGGTTAATATGTATTTCGCATTTATAAACCCTATTACGACTGACGTCTGGTTTACACAAAATAGATGTGTTGTAGGCTTTGCAACAAGCCATAAAGTTTTGAAATCCTATGACTGGAAGTAGGTCTAAATTTTGATTTAGTCTGGAAAAGGTAAATTAAGGCATTCAGGCGGTATGCCTCAGGACTCAGGCAGTAGGTATAAAAGCCCAGCTTTTAGTCTAGAGTGAGGGGAAAAGTCAAATTTGAACAGCCTCAGACCAATACTTTTTAAGTTAAGAAAATAGACAGGGGGGGTCACCGTTACCCCCCCCCCCAGTCGGAATAGGGTTAATGTAATTTTTGGCCTATAGACATTGAAGAAAAACAACTTTAATGTGTTGAATTTTGGCGCATTGATCATTGATGATATGAAAATTATATTGATTTATTAATAATTAGTGATTTTTTTAAATACCTGTGATTGTCCAATGCTAGAAAGAGTATCGGTATCTAGTTGGCTTATTATCTTCTCTGTGCATCTATATTTAAGGATAAGTAACTAACTAACAAAGCTTTTATCTTAATTTCTATGGCCTACCTTATCCTACTGCTTGGTCTCCTTGGAGCATCTTGCAGTTTTAATGGAACTTCTTTACATGGAGAACATTGAAGCTCGCCCAAACTTCCCATTTCCTTACGACTTTCCTTGATAGGAGAGAGAGGGGTACTAAGCCTAGTTGTTCCTCTGGTACAGAAAACCCTTTCTCCATCTCCAAGATATATTGGAGAGATTGGTGGGGTTGAAGACCAAGGCGAGCGTGACCCTGGAAGGAATGGTGAGGGTTTTGGTAAATAAGGACCGGGGGATGATGGTGAAACTGGAGACCCAGAGAATAAACTTTCATCACTGGGTGTCTGATCAATCTTAATACTCGGAGTCCCACCTTCTACAGATCGGGAGCGCGTGTTTCCAGCAGGAGAGGGAGATCTTGATTGTCTAGCTTGTCTATTGGCAAAGCTTCCACTCTAATTAGTACTTTAAAGTTTTTTTTTTAAATAAGAAATCTCTCAAACACAGATATCGCAAAAGACAAACCTTGTAAAAGCATTTTCTAGATCTTTTTAAGAAATATCTATTCTGATTAGTAGATACAGAACATGTATTACCTTAGATCTCGGTATTTGAGATTTGTTGAGCAGGTTTACATTTTGAAAGTTGGATAAACTGGAAAACGAGAAATCTCTTACTAAGGTAGATTTTCTTGAAGACGAACTCTCCGAGGATACCGCCGAGACACCTATGAAAGTCGTAAAAATAGTCTGCATGATGGACGTCAAGTTTTTTTATAAGGTTTGGAGGTTCAGTGCCGCAAAGGAGAAATGGAAGGAGTTATTGATTTAAGGAGTTATATATAGGACAGGTATAGGACACAAAAATAAAAGATGGTAAATTGACATAAAAGGATATGAGGATTGAGGATATGAGTTAAGTAGGATACATGGTCTACGAGTTTGAAATAAACATTGGCAGAAATATTGATATAGTGGCGGGTTGGATAAAAACAGTGGTAAAACTTACCTGAAGTAAATGAGTAGTTAGAACCAAAAGATATGTTATTTGCAATATTGTATCCCGATACTGATTTAGGGAGTTGTTCCTCCCTCTTCCCATCTTGATGCAATTTCAGCACCTTTGCACGGCATAGAATGCATCGAAGGGGCAAACGTTTTAATGCAACAGCCATTTGTATTGTTCGGACAAAACATTGTCTACATACAACCTAAAAAGTTAAATAAAAACTCGTATGAAAAGAAACTGTGGGATTTTTTTGTCTGGGTACCTTTAAATTTTTAATATTGGATTTGACGGAAAAAAATCATGATTTCTTATTATTCAGTTTATCTTAGTAGATACTTATATACAAATGACACATTAATATACAAATACCGCGTACCATTGTGTATAACTGCAATAATATGGTCATTTGTAGAAATCTACATTTGTTTAAATATCATTAAATTCAAAGTTCATTACACAAAATTAAATTACAATAAGTTAGTTTAATGTGAGTTGAAGCTTGTAACGTTACATGGTACATGTTGTACATGACGATGTTCATGTGGGGTAAACAGTAAGACCCGGAATTAATTGACAGCCAGGCGATTTTACAATTACGTATACAAGTTTAAATGCTCAAAATTATAAATATTGGAAATTTTGCGATTATCGTTTCATCAATCATATTTGTAAAATTATGTTGTAAAGTCGTCTCATTAATTGTAAATTAATTATAAGTATTTAAAACAATGCGTTAATCTCAGACCAATGCAAAAACCATACATAACAGGTAACAGGCTTAGAAGTCATAACTTACTCTCAACAAACAAAAAAATTTATTTTTGAAAAATGTTGTAAAAAAAAACAAAGAAGATCTCTCCTCTCTAACTGTCATGTTTAGTGGGACACCATGTATCTTAACCTTTATTACCTTATGAGCACAAGGAAGCGTCTGCATTGTAGCTTTGTTAGTCCCGCACACCACACACTGAAATTCAGTAACAATGAGTAATCTAACTACTCAGAGTTAGAATGCAGAGCCTTTATAATATAATAACTTTAGGTGTAAGATTACATTATTTATATGACGTCGTTAATGTTGAGCTGACACACTTAAAGTAATTACAGGGTGTCTTAAGAAACACGACAGTTGCAAGACGACTTGAAGGTCCTCATTGATCTTTGAAATAATATGTGGCATCGATTTTTAAACCTTTTTTACATGCATAAATCTTGATACAAAAATCACAAAATCCTGGCATTTAAAAAAATGGTCTGACAATTTTGTGCTGTCAATATTACCAGAAATATTAAGAATTTTTGGTTCAGATTAAAAAATTTTAAATAAACCAAAATTGTCGTAATCTGAACAAATTTGTGAATATCTCCGGTAATATTGAAAGCATAAAAAGGCAGACCACAATTTTGAAATGCCAGGACTTGTGATTGCTATCTCTAAGTTAACAATTAAATATAGCAAATTATTTCAAAGATCAAGGACAACATTCAAGTCATCTTGCTACCATCATGTTCTTGTTGGTAATATATGTCTTCATAGTTTAATACCTCTTCTTCTTGTGTGGCAGGGAGCTCTAGATCTTGGCTATCTATTCTACTCAGAAGATTGTCCTAAAGAAGGTAACATATCTTTCCCTGGGATATTTAGAAAGATGAAAATTATCCTGGATGATAATTGAAGGACTACATGCAGTATGGTCTTGGTGAATTATACAACCATACTAAGCCTTTAAGGGGTGTCAAAAACGATTTTTTTAACATATTTTTAAATCTAATAAAGTTTCATTTTTAATAAACTTTTTCTAAAACTTTCTTAAACCGACTTTTTTTCTAAATTCATTTAGTTAAGAGTTTAAGTCAAAATAAAAATTGACAAATATTGTTTGTTTTTTATCGAGTAAATATCCCTAAATATGCCAAGGTAAAAATAGGAAAGATTCTGGATATATTATTTGTCAAACCAAACTAAATTTTTATTTTGATCAAAAATATTTAGTATTTATATAGAAGCATTTTAAGACATCATTTCATTCTAGTTCTAGTACAATACCCATCAGTACCCCGCAGTACCCTACAGTACCCCTATTATCCCGCAGAACCCCCCATTACCCTGTAGTAATTTGAAATCATCCAGAACAAAAAGAATTATTAAAATATAAACTTTATTAGATTTAATTCGAGGAAGTTTTGAAAATATGCAAAAAAAAATCATTTCTGACACTAATAGGCTTAAAACGGCTATATTTTTACCAAAACCATACTGCAAAAGCATGTAAGGGTAATTTTCATCTTTCTATAAATATCCCAGACACCTTCTTTAATATTAAAAATCAAATTTTTTGTGAATAGGGATGGATCGTATACATGTAAAGGGATTCAGAAAAGCACAAGGGAGTTAGAGCGGTAAAAAGAAACGTTGCGACACTTCAAAGTCGACCTCGTCTTAAAAATTGTAAGACTTTTTAAAGGCACAAAACAGACTGAATCTATGTGCCCCGTTGTTTGGATGCAACATTAAAATTGGGATTCCTCATAACTATTTACAGGTTTAGGATAATCATAGTGTAAAGGTAATCTTTGATATGTTTAGGGTATTTAACAAAAAATACCACATCTCGGTGCTAGAAACTGAGTTTCTATCCAGCCTTCCAGAGCTCTACTAGGCAATAACGGTCTAGTTAAGATAGATGGGGTAAATCTCAAGAGACAGGGTTTGACAGATGGATTCATATTGGATTTTCACATCATGTTTGTGCGGTGTTTGAGTTGTATGTTATGGTTGCTTACTCTCGACGCTCTAATGTATGAGAAATCAAAGATTAAAAAAACACTAGAAAATACTTACAATTTTACAGGTTAATCTTTCAAGTTCTTCTTCAAGGTGGTGTGCAGCAGGTTCCTTAAAAATGTTTATAAATGTGAGGGGGATAGACACATTTTAAGGTGACATACTAGGATTCTAGGCCTGTCACTAGGAGAAAGGGGGGGGGGCTAAAACAACAATCTACCTAATGTCTGTAAAACTTTAGAAATGATTGGGGTTGGAAAGGAATCATCCACTGTTAGCTCATTAGGCATTTTTAATCTTCAGCCCATTGTGTTTGTCCGTCCTTTCTTCTATACGGGTACCAATGGCGATATGCCCTGAATGAATCAGAGGGCTCAATTTGAGAATCTTAACCCAGTCCTTTATTTGTAAGTCTAAATTTTTCTATAATTTTTCTTTATTTGTAAGTCGAACTTGTTGGCTGATGTTTCAGCCCCGGAGAATTACTAAGTACAGAATTCTTCCCATTCCGTTATTCCCACGATTTTTAAAAAACAAACCACTGAAAAGACCTCTGGAAGACATGACATAACCTTAATTTTTTTCCCCTATGTGACCCCTGGGTAAGTACCAAGGTCACGAAGTTGTGACCTCTATTCAAACAATCATAACTTTTAAGTTTAATTTTAACGCCAAACAACAGAAAATAAACAAGGTTTTATTTTATGTAAGGCATAAACGTTTACAGGTGGTGGTTAAGGCGTAAATATTGACAGATTGAATGCTTCGTTTTTTCTTCAAATCAATATACATTACTTCTTTATGTATAAACAACATTAGGTCAAATTGTCAACTTGTGAGAAATGGTTACGCTAATATTTGTGACCATAACTCGTCCATATTCAAGTGATTTCTGTAAAACACATATTTTCATCAAAAAGCTTTCCATATATTCTCACATGAGTTGGTGCCTGAACACATTTATGTATGACAAATTTTATTTTTATCTCACTTTTTTAACTAAGTAATATCATGAAGATAGATATATGGGCAGGCGTTAATATATTTGTTGACCTAAAATCCTGAGAAAAGGATAAAATTACTAAATCAACAAGCTAAAAGACTGGGCCAAATCAACAAGCTAAAAGACTGCAGGGCCAAANGTTTGTGAACATTTACATGAATTATAGACTTTGAACTCTCTTTCAGGCTGAAAGGAACTGAAAAATTCATACCGAGAGATTCTTTAAATTCCCCTCTAATATATATTCTATTCTCTATGTGGATATGTCCAGGGATCATACTGCATTAGTGTGATGTATTGTGTATAGTTTGTGAACATTTACATGAATTATAGACTTTGAACTCTCTTTCAGGCTGAAAGGAACTGAAAAATTCATACCGAGAGATTCTTTAAATTCCCCTCTAATATATATTCTATTCTCTATGTGGATATGTCCAGGGATCATACTGCATTAGTGTGATGTATTGTGTATAGTTTGTGAACATTTACATGAATTATAGACTTTGAACTCTCTTTCAGGCTGAAAGGAACTGAAAAATTCATACCGAGAGATTCTTTAAATTCCCCTCTAATATATATTCTATTCTCTATGTGGATATGTCCAGGGATCATACTGCATTAGTGTGATGTATTGTGTATAGTTTGTGAACATTTACATGAATTATAGACTTTGAACTCTCTTTCAGGCTGAAAGGAACTGAAAAATTCATACCGAGAGATTCTTTAAATTCCCCTCTAATATATATTCTATTCTCTATGTGGATATGTCCAGGGATCATACTGCATTAGTGTGATGTATTGTGTATAGTTTGTGAACATTTACATGAATTATAGACTTTGAACTCTCTTTCAGGCTGAAAGGAACTGAAAAATTCATACCGAGAGATTCTTTAAATTCCCCTCTAATATATATTCTATTCTCTATGTGGATATGTCCAGGGATCATACTGCATTAGTGTGATGTATTGTGTATAGTTTGTGAACATTTACATGAATTATAGACTTTGAACTCTCTTTCAGGCTGAAAGGAACTGAAAAATTCATACCGAGAGATTCTTTAAATTCCCCTCTAATATATATTCTATTCTCTATGTGGATATGTCCAGGGATCATACTGCATTAGTGTGATGTACTGTGTATAGTTTGTGAACATTTACATGAATTATAGACTTTGAACTCTCTTTCAGGCTGAAAGGGACTGACAAAATTCATACTGAGGGATTGTTTAAATTCTTTTCTATTCATATTCTCTGTTCTGTGAGCAGAACTTTCCCTGGGATATCTATAAAGATGAAAATTTCCCGGTATAATAATTGCAGGACTGCAGTATGATTTTGATGAATTATATAACCGTCCCAGGAAAAAAAGTCCTATTATAGTAGAAAATGCATGCTAACAAAGGATGTTTACAACTTAGCAAAAAAAGGGGCTTGATATTAAAAACACCTCTGGTTATGTTCAATATGCAGATGCATAAAAGAAAAGTCCTTTTATGAAAACGTCTCAGACCTCATTTTCACAAGACTTTTATTTTCTTCAGATATATTTTCTTTAAAACTTTAATTTATGTGATCTTATTTCCTGAGACTTCACTGGCTTTCTCTATACTTTTTTAGGAAAAAGTCCCAGGAATCTAAAGCTCAGAACTTTATTTTGACATTTTAGCCCTGGACTTAAGAAAGTTAGGACTTTTTTGCAAAATATTTTATTTCCAGAATCTCTTTTTCTGGTGACTTTCTTACAAAGATTCACTAAGCCCAGGGGTTTTTAGAAATGATTTTTTTTGGCATATTTTTAAAAAACGTCTTATAATATAAACCTAATAAAGTTTAATTTTTTATAAAACTTTTTGTTCTGAATGATTGGAAATATCTTTCTAAAACTTTCTTAAGATGTCATGTTTTTTTCTAAATTCATTTTGTTAAGAGTTAAGTCAAAATAAGTTTGATAAATATTGCTTCACATCGAGTAGATTTAATCAAATATGCCGAAGTAAAAATTATCCGAGAGCAGGAAAGATTCGACATATAATTAAAATTTGCCAAACCAAACAAAATTTTTAGTTTGGACAAAAATGTTTAGTATTATATGGAAGCATTTATATGTATCATTTCATTCTAGTTTTGCATTATTTCCATTAATTCATGTAAAAGCTTTTACATGAGGGGGAGGGATGGCAACCACGCTAATTTGCAATCACCTAATCTTCTTTATGGAATGTGCTTGTAACTGGGAACTGGGGGGTACTGTGGTACTGAAAGGTACTGCTGGGTCCGGTACTGGGGAATATTGGCTAGGTGGTACTACAGGGTAATGGGGGTACTGGGTGTTACTGCGGGGTAATTTAGGGTACACAACTACAGTGTATAGGTACCCTGCACCCTGCAGGGGTACTTCTGGGTACTGTGGAGTACTGCTGGTTACTGTGGGATATTGCTGGATAATGTGGGGTACTGCTGGGTACTCGGGGGGTACTGGGTGGTACTAGGGGGTACTGGGTGGTACTTGGGGTTACTGGGTAACGGTGTAATGCAGGATACTGTGGAGTACTGCAGGTATTGCGGGGTACTGAGGGTACTAGAGGCTACTTGGCGTACTGCAGGATATTGGTGGTTACTGCATGGTATTGTGGAGTTCTGCAGAGTACTGAGGGGTATTGGTATGCAGTGCCAGTCACTGTAGTGTAGTGCAAGTTACTGAGGGTACTGGAGGGTACTTGGGGTTACTGCAGGGCAAAGAAAGGTACTACAAGGCACTGCAGGGTACAGGGGAGCACTGTAGGGTATTGGGGTACTGTGGGGTACTGGAGGACACAGCAGGATACTGGGAGGTACTACAAGGTGCTTGAAGGTACTACAAGATACTGGGAGGTACTACAAGATACTTTGGAGTACCGTGGAGTACTGCAGGGTACTGCAGGTAACTGTGGGGGTACTGTGGGGTACTACAGGTACTGCAGGGTACTAGGGGTGCTGCAAGGCATTGTGGGGTACTGCTGGGCACTGGGGGGTATTGGGGGATACTGGAGGGTACTGCGAGTACTGCAAGGGTACTGAAGGTACTTTGGGGTACCGCAGGGTATTGGCAAGTACTACAAGGTACTGCATGGAACGGCAGAGTACTGGGGGTCACAATGGGGTACTTACCTTAAAGTTCCCCCAAAACTTGCAGTACCCCACAGTAACCTTAGTACACCCAGTACCCTTAGTACTCCTTACCTGTACCCCCCCATCACCGTAAATACCCCGCAGCACCCTGCAGTACCCCCAGTGCCCTGAATTATGTCCTAGTACCCCACAGTACCCTTCAGAACACAATGCAGCATCCCTAATACCCGCAGTACCCTGCATTTACCCGTAGTATCCTAGAGTACTCAGCTGTCCCCGCAGCCCCTTGAGGTACCTCCCAGAACCTGGTGGTACCAGTACCCTGCAGTACCCGCATTACCCTCCAATACTCTGTAGCACTTATAGAACCCTACAGTATGGTGCAGTACCTCTAGTACCCAGCAGTGCCCCAAAGTTCACCCCAGTACCCTGCAGTACTTCACCGTACCCCCCAGCACCCCACAGTACCTTGTGGTACCTTCCAGTACCCTGCAGTGCCCCTGGTTTCTCCAGTACCCCAATATCCTCACAAACTCCTCTGTACCCTATGGTACCCCTCAGTAACTTGTAGTACCTCACAGTACCCTTCAGTACTTTACAGTACCCTGAAGTACCCTCATTACCCTGTGACCTGCAGTAACCTCAGAACACGGCAGTACATGGTAGTATACGGCAATACACAGCAGTACCCTGCAGTACCCTGTAGTAGTCCTAAGTAACCAGCAGTACGAATCAGTACCTCACAGTACCTCCAAGTATCCTTCAGTACACCCCTCCCCCCATAACCTGCATATGCCACAGTACCCACAACAACCCGCAGTACCCCCCTTTAAAACGAAATTCTTCATATCTCGGGCAATATTGAAAGCACAAAAAAGGCAGACCACATTTTGGAAATGGCAGGACAAGGGAAATTTTGTGATTATTATCTCTAGAAATTTACTTCTAAAATTAGGTTCACAAATAAACACAGCAAATTATATCAAAAATCAAGACGACATTTAAGTCGTCCTGCATACTGTCATGTTTCGTGGGACACCCTGTAGCAGATTTGGTGATTACAAATTGGCATTGTTACCATCCCTCCCTCCATTCAGGGATCAGCTGGTTAGTAATAAACCAGCTTTTATATGACTAGAAATAAAGCAAAACTAGAATAATTATGCTTAGAAATGCACGCTTCCATATTTACGAAATATTTTTATTCAAAATAAAAATTTATTTTGGTTTGGAAAATATTATATGCTTCTAGAATCTTTCCTGCTATCGGACAGTTTTACCTTTGGCATAATTAGGGATATCAACTCTATATAAAGGAGTATTTATCAATACTTATTTTGAAATTTTAGAAAGATATTTGCACACATACTGAACAAGTTTTATAAAATTTTAACTTAATTAGGTTTATAGTACGTTTTGAAAAAAACGGAAAAATCATTTCTGACACCCCTCAGTACGGCTATATGATTCACCAAAACCATACTGCAGTCCTTCAATTATCATACATGAAAACTTTTATCTTTCCAAATATCCCAACACAAACAACAAAATAAAACCACACCGATTAACATAGCGTTGCCTGAATTTAAAAAAAAATGGTGAGAGCAATGCAGAGAAGTTGAGTTTGTGACGTCATTTGTGGTACGAACGAAAAACGGGTGTGGTGTGTCTTCCCTCTTTTATTTTATACTGTAAATGTGTCTCTTTAGATCCTACCTTAGGTAGACGACGGTATTGCTGTAATTTTCTTAGAAATCCCATACCTACAGCAAAAAACTAATTTTATCTTAAGAAACTATATATATGTCACTAGAATCTATGTAAGAAAGTCAGCGGAAAAAAAGTTTCTGAAAAAACCTCAAAATAAAAAATTAGTTAAAAAAGTCCCGATTTTTTTGAAGTCCTATGAAAAACATGTCACCGCAATAAAAGTCCTGAGTTTTAGATTTTTGGGACTTTTTTTCCTAAAATCAGATCACAGGATTTAAAGCCATGAAGAAAATAAATCTGACGTTTTCTTAAAAAGAACTTTTCTTCTATGCATCTGCATATTCAATATAGTCTAGGGTATTTTTAATATCGAGCCCCTTTTTACCGTGGTTGTAAACATACACATGCCTTTTCTAATATAATTATAGGACTTTTTCCCGGGACGATTTTGTTTAAAATCAAAATGGAGCTAGAAAAAAAGTCCAAGAAAATAAATTTCATAATGGTATTACTTCAATTTCAGAGAATTTTAATTTAAAGGACTATTTCTGAAGGACTTTTTTATTGCCAAAATTTTTTTTGGCGGTATCCATGTCAGTAGACTCTTCGTCCCACTTTCCATAAAAAAAATACATAAATTGTAATGTACTGTTAAACATCTTTCAATTTATTAAAAAACAAAAACACTATTTTTTTTGGAGATTCCCCTGAATTTACAGATACATTTCAAAATTAGACTTTTTGGATAATATTTCTTAATCCGGCCTGACCGGCCAAAAACAACCCCCAAAATTATGCAAGGTCCTGCACCGGCAAAAAATCAGAGAATTGTAAAATGGTAACATCCAAAAAAGTCACAATCAAAAAAAATTTGGAAAACAGTTCTAACTTCTGGCATCGACTTTTTTATTCAAATTTTTTTTCCTGACACGAAAAAAAGTCATGAGAAAAAAGTCATAGAAAATTGTACAGCCGAGACTACGATTTGCAGTACGCTTTTCAATGTGGGACAAATTTCCGACAAATATGACGTCATCATAGCAAAAGGGATTACCAAAGGTAATTTCCTAATTGCAGCAACCTCCCAAATGTGCAATTTCTCAAGCTGCAACTTCCCAAGTCTGCCCTAGCCGCAGCGCTCTTGCCCCTAGCTCATTCTAGCTTTAGCACTTGGCCCCTTTATAGTCAATTAGTAAGAACGATGTGTACTTTTAAATTTAGTTCTGGAATGGGCGTGAGGTTTTTTAGAACTACAGTTGCAGCTTCACTTATTGTGCCATTTACAAAGGAAAAATGTATGCTTTTATTTTGAGAAATATATTACTAACAATACTGAATTAGTATTTAATCAACCTTATATGTGTTAAGTGTTTTTAACGCTGTTTAAAAAGGGGCGGACTAAACCAATATCTCAGGGGGGGGGCATATTTGCGCGTGTAAGCGCACAAAAAAAATGTTGGTTCCCTCACCTTAAAATTGAAAAAAGCAGTAAATTTCAATTTATTATTTACTATCACATTTCGAGATTTGCATATCAAAAATGAACATTTTTATTGAGGTCGACTAAGCATAAGTATATCTTATCGGTAATTAAGAAATAAACAATTAAATCGCTGTCCAATTCATAGTTTGAATTGGAATTTAAACTGTTTTCAAATTAAAACGAACTTTCCATAATAAACCATATGGAACATTTTAGAATTTTTAACATTTTTACATATCTAATCAAAGGTAATAAATTAATAATGTTAGTGATTATCTATTCTTTTTTAACCGCTTACTAGTAATTTGATAAAACCTTTAATTGTGTGTTTAATGAATTTTTGCAGTGATAACCAGAAAATTCTGAAATAGGAAGACAACTTTTAAACTCAAGTTAGGACTAGTTCAATGAACATTAGTCATAGCAATTATACAGTGTAAATAGACCCTTTTCACTGTAATTGCGCTTTGCTAAGTTACTAGTAAAAATATTTGTTTTGTAACAACATCAAAACGCTTAGGTATTGCTATAATGTCGTCTTTCTATTCAATTGTTTTCTGGTTATTACTGTATGAGAACACAATTTTAAAAGGTATTTCCGTTCAGGTCATTTATTCATGATGGGCTAGGGGGCCGAGCGCTGCGACTAGGACAGGCTAGGGGGCCGTGCGCTGCGGCTAGAACAGGTCATGGCTGTGAAAATCGTTAGAATATAGTCTTTTTAATTTTAAGTTGAGAGAAGACGACATTAAATTAGTTTTATGATTCTGTTTTTTTAAGGCATTTCCGTGTTGAGGCGTTTCCATGTCACCCTCTAGTCCGCCCTTGTGTTTAAAGCTTATTTATTAACAGTTTTTGATCGTCTTTTATCTTACAAATTAATCTATCTTCTGCTTCTCATCTTTAAAACCGGATTTGTTTTGATAATACATCTATAAGAGACTGAAGAAAGGAATAGATAGATATTTAGGAGTACAAGAAAGTCTAATGTCTGGGTTTAGTCTTGATCTGGTTTAATCAGGGTTAAATAGAATGTCTCAAAACTCAAGACTTTAACATTTTTGTTGTATGAATGATGGAATTTATGTAAGAAAGTCACAGGAAAAAAAGTTTCTAGAAAAAGAATCTGGAAATCAAAACTTTGGTAAATAAATCCAAATTTTTTGAAGTCCTAGGACAAAATGTTTCTGGAAATAAATTCCTGAGGTTTCGATTTTTAGGACTTTTTCCTAAAATAAAGTCTCAGGAAATAACGACACAGGAATTAAACTCCTAAAAAAAAGTCTTTTGTCTTGGGAAAATGATGTCAAGTCTTAGACGTTTCCATTAGTTTGAGATTTTTCATTAGTTAGAAACTTGTTTGTCCTCCCTCTAAAACAATTTAATTTTATACCCATATGGTAGCAAAGATTTCTGCTGTGTCAATTCGGTAACCGCCATAAAAGTTCTTTGAAAAATAGTTTTCGGAAATAAAGTCCTACATTTTGACACTAAAAACTCCTTGGAGATAATTTTAATCATAGCTAAAGGAGATTTGAAGTACACATGAGGTACACAACTTATTTAAATGTGAATTTTAATTGACAGCTTCTCTTTGTTTACATCTGTATGAAAGCTTGGCTGGAATATAAACCAAAATATAAAGTCTAAAAGTTTAAAACATCTAAACATTTCTACGGTGTATCTCCATGCAAAGATGGCAATGCCCGATTCCCAAAGGTTGCCTAATCAAGAATGAATTAGATATGAATGTTTATAACCTAGCAAAATGATTATTTTTAATTGTGAATTTGCTTAAAAAGTGACTTGCGCATTTCTCCTGCAGAAATTCAACTCATTTAAACCTATAGTAAAACGTCAATATCTTTCACATTATTGATTAGATAAAGTAGTTTATGGTACCGTTGTTAATCGGGCGTAGTCATTTTTGCACGGAAGGTCACTTTAAATTAAGCTTACAGTACCTTTGAATTAGGTGCGTAAATTGCATGGTATACTAATCTGTAGGAATTGTAAGTGCGTAAAATTACCTGGTATACTAAATTTTAGGAATCCGTTCTTGTTCTTTCTCATGTTAGTTTTCTTGGTATCTGTAGTGTTCTGCTCACAGCCGGACATTTTATAAAGCCTCAACTACAAAATGTAGTCTCAGCATATCATCTTAAAAACTATATATTAATTTCACATATATTCAATTTTTAAGATTTTAGTTAATTAAACTGTTTCAAACAATGGTTTCCATTTGGTAGCTTTATTTAAAAATCAAATCTCAACCGATATAATAGAGAAAATATAAATCGTCTGTTAGTCGGTTGAGCAATTTCAAGTTTTCTTTCTTTTGGCTCTTGAGTGGAAGCACTGTTGAGTACTTTTAAGTTTGAATCTCAAGTTGACGCTTGTTAAAATCTTCAATTCAGACCCCTTAATGTAAAGAGTATCTGAAATTCGTATAGATAGACACTTAGGTATGTTTATCAGGGACGGATACAGGGGGGGGGGGGGGGACATTCGCCCCCTGACAGATTCAGGGAGGGGCATAGCTCCCCCCCCTGTGATTTCGAGGCAAAAATGTTCCCAATTTGATAAGTGTTATTGTTAACGATAAATTTAGAATTAGAAATTTGTAAGAAACTAGACTTAAGTTATAATATTGTTCATATCTAGTAATGTTCCTTAATCAATACTCATTTATCAAAATTCTAATATTGTTCCTAATTTTCATGCATTTAAGTATAACTAGTAATTTCTTTTTGTTTTTTGAATTGCTAATGTTCCTATTATTGTTCCTGTTCCTCATGCTGTGTCCGACCCACCTTAAATCCCTGTCCTAATCCTATATTTTTGTTCCTAATTCATGAACAATCTTTTAATTGTTCCTAAATCCCTGTCCTAATCCTTTATTTTTGTTCCTAATTCTTGAACAATCTTTTTATTGTTCCTAAATTCCTGTCCTAATCCTTTATTTTTGTTCCTAATTCTTGAACAATCTTTTCATTGTTCCTAAATTCCTGTTCTAATCCTTTAACTCTGTTCCTAAAATTTAAAAATCTAGTTTTTTTAGTCTTTAGTCATTAATTTTGACTCTTTTTGAGTCTTTTAAGTCAAAAAAATTTTCGGCACGATTTTTTGTTCCTAATTATTAATTTTTTTGTTCCTAAAAATCTTGACCCCCCCCTCACTTAAATCCTGTATCCGCCCCTGATGTTTATCAATCCCATAAGCTACACATATATTTGCTCCCTAGGGCCAAGAGGTGACAATCTTTGTAGAGATGCGATATATGTAAATATTTACTTTACAAACTTAGCTCTCTCTGAGAAGAATAGTTTTATTGTTTGTTTGGAAAGAGGCGCAGTTTTAAAATAGATCTTTTTCTGCTATTTGTATTTCATAAGAAAAAGCATAAAAAACATATTTGATTTCGTATTTTAAAACTAAAATATATGTTTTTAAAATAAGTTTATCCCGTTTTGTTGGTCGGAACTATATAATAGAGACAGCAGTTCCCACAGAAAATATTTACATTTAAAATTTCTTCCATTCAACGTAATTAAGCAAACATAGGAGAAAGACTGGGAAAAAGAAATATGCAACATAACATTCTTTCATAGAAATGAATTTCTTACTTCTTAAAAAGAATTAACATAATGTTATTAAATATTAATGAGGAAGAAATTGACAGCAACAAAAACAACGGAGACATTTAATGTAGCTAGGATCTTATAGATGAACATATCTATATATAAATTTGGCTTGTCTGTTTCTTTGTTTGTATCCAATAAACGTCAAAACAACGTCCAGTGTGCGTATTTGTACTTAATCGGCAGGTTTTGTACAGAATTATACTCATTTTCAAATTGACTTTTTATAAAAAAAAACAAGATTTTTTAATTAGAAATGAGTGTAAAATCCTACAAACATTGAACAAAAATCACTTATATTTCAACAATTAACTTTCCTCCTTAGACCTTGCCATAAACCATGTATCGGGCGGGCCAATCCAAAATGAGGTAACAGAGTCAGGCGCGCAACTAGGGGGGGGCAAGGGGCAGGGCCCCCCTAGCCTAATTAAGGGGGAGGGGCATGCCCCTCCCATAAGAAGGCTTCCCCCCCTGTAAGGGGGGGGGGTAAGAAGTCCACCCTGTTTTGCAATTTAGCGATTCATGAGCAAATTTAAGAGCTCTGATCGTAAAATAAATAAAATGATAATTAAACTTTAGTTTATTTAGCTTATAGTTCAATCAGAGGAATGTTTCAAAAACAAGCCGAAAAGAAGAGATCAATAACAATGGTCTCCTGGAAAATTCAGAATAGCTTAATCAAAATTTAGGAATAGCAATATGACAAATTAAAGTTTAAGTTAAGTTTTTTCTTTTCTGGGGGGAGGGGACTGAAACTACTTAATGATAAAGTAAATTATTGCTTAAATAAAGGGGAAGACTTTCTGCAAAATTCATAGCAGATGAAGCAACAACATATAACAACAAATATCTTTCATTCTGCATTCATTATGTAAACGTAAATGTAGGTTATTGCCAACGAGTTTATAGTATAAAGAGTGATGATGTACGCTAATCCTTTACTAGTTGTAAAGGCCATGTCTTCACTTCCAAAGGTCAATCTTATTACAGTACTCGGGGGTGATTTCTGGAAAGGGTAAGTTAATTATTGAACTGGATTTTTCCATGCTTCAACCATGTCTACGTACAACTCCATTTGGCTAGCTAAACTTATAAGCCTAACATACAAATTTAGGTCAGAAAACTTGTAGATCAGAGAAAACCATAGATAAATAAATAAACATAGATAGCTTATGTACGCAAAATCACAAAGAATTGTACAGTCCGCGAACTCATACTTCTAGGGATCAAAGTTTACTTCAATGATAAGCGGGCTGGTTTGGTGTTTAATGGATTTCATAATAGAGTGTAAAATAACTCCGGGAATGGAACTATTTGAACAACAATATTTCACTGAGCAACAGTAGCGTAAATAAGGATTCAAAATATCATGATGTATAACAAATTATTGGTTTTAGTTGGCTTTGATTTGCATTTTCCACTCATTTCTGGCATTTACAAACTCCATCAAGTAAAGGCTTCATTTTCTATCTTTCAGCTTTCACCTTGTTTTATATCCTTCATTATAGTCATTTATTTTACATTAACTATTATCTATGGAAAAAACTTAGGTCTGAAAAAAAATTTGTGAATCCGCAAAATTTTTTTTAGTATTGTTTTATACTGTACAAAGAGAAGATTCTCACAGATAAGGTCACTTAAAAGTTAACATAGAAGATGGGCGTGAAGCCTACTGTAAAAAAACAGTCAAAAAACTTAAAATTAACTTAGCAAAAGATGTTCAAAGACTATCGTTTTTTCAGTAAAATGAATATCGTCGTTTTGTTTTTCGTTTTAACCCATCAAATTTTTTTCTGAAAACGATTGTTCTTTCGTTTTGAAAAATCAAAAACGAAACAAAAAAACTATCGTTTTTACCCTAACTGCTATACATAATACATTCTAGTTCAGTTGTTTGTTCACTGAAATAGACAACTCTGAAAGTTATGCATCAAAGTTGTATGCAGCCTGACTTTAAAGTGTCGCACGCTTCGGCCTTTATAGTTTTACTACATCACCAACCCACTTATACATTTTTTGTAAACCTAGACACATACATTGCGCTTGTTTCTACCTCAAGTTTAATTGGCAAAGCGTGCACTTCTTGGTTCGCAGTGTAATAATATTCACTAAATAATGATAAAATATTGATATTACATATTAAAGTTTTAGACATATTTTTGACAGAACGTCTAATTAATGAATTGTAAACCTACAGAGGGGGGGGGGGGGTAGAGGACTTTGTCCAATAGACTGCTCCTCAAAATGTTCCATGTCCATAGTTGACTATTTTCCTCCAACTGTCTTGTGGTGGTAAACTTATCAAGGGCTCAGTTTCATTTGCTATAATACTTTTGCCATAATTATATTTGCCATAATTTCATTTGCCATACTGCATTTGCCATAAGTAACACTTGCCATATCAGTTACACTTTCCATAATTACACAAGTGCTATAATTACACTTGCCATAATTAAAATTAAATTTGATTAGAATTAACAAACATATACATGTATTTTTTTTAATCACAAATTAAATACAAATTAGAAATATAATTCAGAGACAGTTAGAATTCGGGTTCGAATTCGAGCTGAGCACATTTTAACCAAACATTCCAATATTGTACTTCTGTAGACAAGGTATTTGCTACATAGGTGTAGTTGTTGCTGTCTCAAACCATTGGTTTTCCCTTACCTGTAGTCTCAAAGGTCACCAAAGGGTCCTCCATAGTGAGAAAATATAAAGCTGAACTTGTGTCAATGAGAAAACTAAAGTTGGGAATTTTCATGGGAAAAGTTCCCACATTTGCAATAAAAAAGACAAAGGAATTGAGCCTTTGTAACAAACTCTGATTTTCTAAAACCTATATTTTTTCCACCTGATGATGTAAACCTTTGATATTTCAAGATTAGATTTTTTTATCTAACAGAATTCATAGTTTGACATATCTAAGGTCTACGGCATTGGATTTCAAAGATATAGAGATTAGAAAATCATAGTTTGTGACAAAGACTCAATTCATTTATATCTTTTAAAAAATTAGAAAACTATGACAAAAGTAATTATAGCAAGTGTAATTATGGAAAGTGTAACCATTATGGAAAGTGTAACTTATGGAAAGTGTAACTTATGGCAAGTGCTACTTATGGCAAGTGTAATTATGACAAAAGTATTATGGCAAATGAAACTGAGCCTTATCAAGCGACCTTTTTTACATGGTCAATAAATTAAGCCTACTCCTGAGTCCCAATGTCACTATGAGGGAGGGGGAGGACTTTTTTCCTCTTTATTAAATTCTAAGCATGAAAGAGGACATTTCTCCTTAGATTTCTAACTACAGCTTTGTATCAATAAACTATGTCTGTAGAATATATCGTTTAAAATTGTCAAATATAATCAATATTATCGAACTCTCTTTTTGTATCAAAACAAAATCAAAAAATTTATCAAATCCATAAATTGTAGAAATACCATTACGATTTTAACAATATACATAATATTCTCAAAATAATCATGAATCGTCTAGTTGTACAAGTTGTGAAGCTTTACATTGTGTCTTTGCAAAAAGTTCTGATTTTCTAATCGCCATATCTTTGCAATCCAATAACCTTGTTGGTTGTATATTTCAAACGATGAATTCTCTTAGATTTGTTCTAAGTTTAGAATAGAAAATGTTTACATATTAAGATTGTAAAGATACATAAGGATTGAAAAATTTGAAGTTATACATATAATCAAATTCTGTGTGCATGCATTGAGGAAAAAAGGATTAGAGATGAAGTAGGAAAATGTTCCTTGGAATACACAAAAAAGCCTCCCCTTTGCCAGCGAAAATGTACTAAATCTTGAACGCACTGATAATTTTTACTTGCACGTTCCCGCTTTTTTGCTTTAAAAATTGTCCAATTAAAAGTTTTCCAAATTCAAATAAAAAAGAGGATCGCCTATTTCTTCGAATATGTTTCAAACGAATGGAAGGATGAATTACTGCGCTAATCATATAAGTAGAAGGAATCCCCAAACCCTGATCAACCTTACTCCGCCCAGACTCCGGATATTATGGGGACAGAAATCTCACTGCCCTGGTCTAGCATCCTCACAGCCTCAACCAGATACTTCCAGCCTCTACTCCCGGGGATTCCTTCTTACAGGTTTCAAAATTAAACCCAGCAAACCAGTCAAAACATTTCTCACAAACTCAATCTAATATTAAATTCGTTTTTGCTTTAAAACTTTACAATTGACATTGTTTCGTCTTAAAATATTTATTGACAGTACTATTGAAGTTTTACATCGAAATGATGAAATGAAAGTGCGAGATATGTTATTTTTTGCGGGATAAGTTTTCAATGGAGCATGTTAAGATTAAATCCTTATCACTTATCCTGCAAACAAAAAATAATATCTTAACTTTCTAATTCGCCCGTACATTGGTAATTGAATGCCACTTAACGTCAGCGATCAGAAACCCTCCATTTTGGTGACATCCAATAAAGTCACACAATCAAAAAAGTATTTGAAATTCTGGCATTAAAAAAAAGTCCTCCGGAAAAAAATGTACTGCAAATTATTTCGTTCATAAAATTTAGAGGGAAAAAAGTCATAGACAATTGAACAGCCCACTGAAAAGGGTGAATACTTTTACTCGAATTAATTTTTAATTTTTCATTAGTTAGAAATTATAATCAAAAAGATTTCTGTAAAACAAAACTACCCCTGTTTGCTAATGTTTATGAACTTTTTATTCATTTCTTTGACTTTTTCTCCAATGAATTTTGTTCATGGGACTTTTATAACTAGTATTTATTTTCTTATGGTTATTTTTCTTGCAGACTTTGATGGCTGTTTCAGCATGGAAATAGCGAGTAAAACATAGGAGTTGAATAGTAACTCCATCTTCATAAATAAATATTAACTCCAGGAGTTGAATAGTAACTCCATCTTCATAAATAAATATTAACTCCATCTTCAGCTTGTCTCAGCTGAAAGAAGGAGTTTAACCCCTGATGGGTATGCAAGCCATGCACAACGATACCAGTTTTTACTCGACCAGCTGTGTGGAGTAGTCTTCTGTGGAAAATTCCACCTATGGGGACTTCTAAGGCTTCCAACTCCCCATTTTGCATAAGCAGAAGAGTTATGGGTTCCTTAATTCCACTTTGTTGGAAAGACTTTAACAAGAAGGAAAACAGTCAGCGATCCCCCATATCCTTCCTTCTCAAAACCTCCACAACTCAATGTCACAAGAACTATTTGGAGAGGCCTCAAAGCCAAGAAACAAGAATCAAGAAGCAAGAAGAAAAAAGAAACTTGAACAGGAAAAATTGGATCTCTTGATGATAAGCTTTACACTATCATATATAATCATTAAAGCCATTAGCAAATGAAGACAACATTAAGAGATGGGGGCTTGGAAGATATCCCCCCCCCCCTACATTTATTTCACTCCAGGTGGAAGTTATAGAGTATCAGGAATTGTGTTTTTTGATTTGTCAGATGTAACTCATGAGTAAACAATTCAATACAGATTTCAGAAAAGAAAGCAAGATCCTTTTAGCATAGTTCTAGCTTGTAGTGTGGCAATCTGCAAGGATATCCCCCCCCCATTTCTTTTTTTCAAAGTTAGCCCAAATATGATTGAAAGATGTACGAACAAGAAGAAAATAAAGAACAAGAAATAAAGAAATGTCAAAATATTTTCATCTGATATCCTATAAATATTTAAAAAATATAATTTTAAAATTTTAAAATTTTAGAATAAATATGTAAAAAATACATAGTAAATATGACTAATCCAGGGACAGACACTAAGAAATACATGAAAAAACACTAGAACAGCATGCATGCATATTTAATTAATTTACTCATGTTTATCATTTTAAAGCTGTTGGAAGTTTTTTTTTTAAACAAAAGAACAAGTCATGGATATTTTAAGAATTTGCTACATTATTGAGCACGGGCTAACCCTTCAATTAAAAAAAAAAATTCACTTCAAATCCTAAAAACAGGGCCTTTTTTGAAAAAATTTTCAACAGGGGGGCTGTAGCCCCCCACCCCAGCCCCTCAATGCCCAGAAGAGTCAAATTAAAATGCATTTTAACCGAAAAGAGATAATAACAAAAACGCTTTTAATCAAACATTTTAAATGTTTGATGCATGCCTACTGATAAAATGGCCAGTATATCGGGTTAGAAACAGAGTTATTTAAACTCTTCTTGGAGTTTAATGATTAATTAATGAAGCTGATCAAGGACAGAGAGATTTAAATACTGGATACAATTTAGAAAGAACCTAATTTTTAGATTGTGAAATATAAAATAGCTCTTTGATCTGATTTGGTTATACGCCCAAAATTGATTATCATCCAGAAAAATATTTACAAAGTTAAAAGGAAAAATTTCAAATTCGAAAATCCAGTAAAATTCAAGTAATTTATTATCTATAATCTGTCTGAATGTCTATATAACTCCGATTATAAGTTTAGCAGAACCAAATAGAACAAAATCATATAAATTAGAACGGGTTTTAAACAAAAATTTAGAAAGCTTTCCGTCCATATATTCAGTATCGTTAATTAACTTCGAGCCAACCACTCAAAACAACCAACCCTGGTTAGGCGGGTCCAAACTGCATAGTAAATTGTGATTGCTTATTTGTAATATCACATGCTTTGTAGGTGAATAAAAAATATGAATGAATGAATGAATGAATTCTCATACCATTTCTGCCCTTCATTTCTTGTTTCCCACATTTTATCCACTCTCCTGCTTTTCTATTATCTCAAAACTATTTATATATGTAGTTTTTAACTCATTTTTATCAGGAGATAACTGTCAGTCTAGTACTGCCTGTAACAATCTAGGTCCCGAGAGTTCTCTTAATACTTGTCTTTAACTCTAAATTCTTAAGTCAATCCTGACTATCTTCCTTGCCTACCCTGGCTATGTACGTCCGTCTAAAACAACGATTGATTCAGTACTAATTTATTGATAACAGGTAAAATAGATTGACTGGTCGGGCCGGTCAGGGTATGGAATAAACATAGATAATACAGATAGGTAATACTGCTCCTGAATTTGCTACATTCCTTAATCTCACTTTTCTGTTTTGGTTCCTTAGGCATGAAAAACATGCATGTTTCCTTCAACTCTTAATTGTACATTCCCTTGAGCATTTTATACTTATTTCTACCAGGCTCCTTTTGTCTGGAGCGTATGCTTGTAAAAATAACGTTTCTTTGGAAGTATAATATTCTCTGGTATCTTCACCACTTTCCTGTTTCCTGTCTAGGTATTCCTGTTTGCGATATAACTTCATATTGGTCAGTATGAACTCTTCTGGTATCCTCCTCCTTTTTCTGTTTCTTGTCTAGGTATTCATTTTCCTGGCTTTCATTATATTTTTGTTGTGAGAATCTTGTCATCATTTCTGTAAAGAACACTCCTGTTTCATATCTCTCAAATGCTACTCCTGTTTGATAAAACGGTATTATCTCTCTTCTAGCTGCTCCCGTGATGCATGAAACCAGCATCTTTTACATCTTTATCTGTGACCGTTTCCCATTCATCGTTATGCAGATGAAGTTTCCAAGTTGTTGCACCATCGAACATAATTTCTGGATTTCCATCATATTTGGGAGCTCATTCAATGTAATCCCGTACTCTTTTTCTGATAGCATTTTCGATATCACACATCTCTTTGTATGTATCCTCGGTTGCTTCCCCTGTTTCCACTACTCCCTGTAGATGTTCCATATGTTATTGTGATTTATCCATCTTCTTGTTATGCTTAAACCTTGTATTTACTTCTTAAATCTTTTTT